TGCCCTGGTAGCGGTGCTCGTAGTAGTCGTGGATCTTCTGGCGGAAGTCGGCGGGCAGCTTGTGGAAGGACATGTACTGCTCCACCTGCTTGTACTGTAACGGGGCGGGGCCGGGGGTGGCAGTCAGCGGCTGCTCCCGGCCCGCCTCAGCCTGGGGGCCTCGCTTCGACAACCACAATACAGGAGGCCTGGTGAGGTGTGACTCCCTCAGTGTAAGCCTATCCCGCAGCACTCAGGACTAGCTCTTCCTGCATGCTGAATGTTATCTGGCAGCCTTGCCTGAGAGAGGGGTGCACAGCTGGACCGCAGGCCCTGACAGAGGGCTGGCCTCGCCCCCAGCCCAGAGGTGCCAGACACTGCCGGTGGCCCTGGCTCCCCTCTCCAAGGATCTTTCTGGAAATCACTGGCTCAGCCCCTCCTGAGCCGGGCAGCAGGTGTGGGCCCCAGGTGGGGGTGCCGGGCCTTGCTGTCCCCAGGATGGCACCCCAGGGGTGCCCCTGCCCCACTTCTGCCCCAGCCCCCCTGTCCCCACTGGCCACAGCTGCCCTGAGCTCAGCGGAACCCGTGATGGCAGGCGGGTGGCGGCACCAGCTCATGTTTGGGTGTGAGGCCAGCGGCTTCCGGACAGCCGGGGCGCCTGGCACCAGGCCCAGCTGACCCAGGCGACCTGACTGCTGGGCACTGGGGGGGGGGGTTGCCTCTGCCCAGCCAAGGCAGCCATCGGGTAGCAGTGCAGGGCACTGTCCAGGGAACCAGGCCACCCTTCGGCTTAGGGAGAGGAAACTGAGGCACAGAGTGAGGGCTGGGGCTGACCTCCAGCAAGGGCTGGCCAGTGGGGACTGTACCTGCCCTCCCCTAGCCCTTCCCAGCCCCCAGCCCTAGGACCAGCCCCATGGAGGTTGCCATACTGAGGCCAAGTCCTAGCACATCCTTGCTCCCCCAGATATCTGTCCTAAGTCCTTGGGCAACCCCAGGCCTCTGGGACCCTGCTCCCGGCCTTCCCACCCCAGACGCCCCTGAGATGGCCAAGAGTCTCTGTCCTGGGAGCTCCCTGATATCCCACGATCTGGCTCTATCCTGTTTGGACCG